GTTGCATTTCTTGAATGTCATCTTCCTCAATACAGGCCTCTAGCATATGTTCATGTTAAATGTGATTTAGTGCATTACTACAATAAAATCAAACATAAACAGTAAATATTACATTATATAGACGAATGACAGACCTCTTTGTCAAGACACAGCACATGCATTGTTCTTTTATGCCCCTGAGAGTCATCACCATGCTCAATCCATACATTAAGAACTCGGATGATCATGATATCAGTATAAGCACCAACACGTAGACCACGAAACACCATGCATGTGGAAATTGGGTCTGTGGCAAACGAAAGACAAAGAAAAACCCCAAAACTTCACACCTCGGCAGTGTTCATTCATAAACCAATAAATAGAAACTTGAAACAGAAAGCAACGGAGCCGATACCTCGTGGAAGAGTTGGAAGTTTGAAATCACGCGGCATTATACAACGATGCCTGATATGGAAAGACAATGGAAGATCAAAAATTTGTTAAAGTGTCAAGAAACAGAATGCAAAAGGGAAAACTATCAGCGATCATACCCCATGAATACACGACTATCCCTGATCTGGAAGTCGCGAAGCACTGTAGTTCCTGGAAAAAGAAGTTCAGAGTACAGGGGAAGTTAAAAGGCAGAATCAGAACCGAAATGAAAAGGCGGTGGAAGTTGGTCTCTAAAACGTTTTCGCACCACCATTATAAAATAATAAATTTAATATTCAATGGGCTATCAATTGTTCCCCTAATGGACCGAACAATTATAGAATGGGCTTCCCAAAAGCTATAGAAACTTAATATAAGCACAAAGGCATCTCCTATTCGGGCTAAATATGAGAATACTGGGCCCAATTCATATATCTACTTATATATCGTAAAAGAGGGCCCATTATTTATATTTATCTATACGCGCCCGGGCTTGAAGCAAATTGAGAAAACACAAATGTTTCATTCGAGAACACTTTAATCATGTAACCGCAGTTTTTTATTGTTTATTCATTTTTAACATTGTCAATGGTCCAGGTGATACCACACAATTAAACTAAAGTTTGCTCTTGCTGTATATTTAGAACATGGGCTGTACTTTGTTCCTCATTTATGGCTATGTTCAACGTAGGCAAAAACATCATACAACCCTCAAACTTGGTGTTGTTAGGGTCAGTTTGTTCTGATATTTAGATGACTATCCATAAACATTTATATTAGGCAACAGATTGGAACATGTCAAATTTCAAATTAAAGCAGTGACTTCCACCTGCAATTTCTTGTTAAAATAAACAGCAACCATCAACTGGTTGCTCCTCTTTTCATGCCTACATTCTAAAACCGTTGTAACCCATAATCGGATAGAAACCTTGGCTATTGATCCATGAACAACACTGGAAAAACTCAACACGCAAGCTACTCAATAGTGCACCTCTTGTATGCGAGAAAAGACAGGCAGAGAAAGAGGAGGAAAGCATCGGCCCTCCGTGGGCAACGCGCTCAGCTTCGCAAAGCACCACGCAGAAAATTCGACCCAAACTCAAAAAAGCCGGAGAAAAAATCGCCGGCCCAACCCCAACACACTGAGAAAACCACGATAGGAACTGGAGCCACTTTTCTCCTCTGAGTCCTCTCTCGTCTCGAGACCACCACCAAGAACTGACCTTCCATTTCTTTCTCAAGGAGGGTCGAGTCAAATCCCTGTCTCCTCTGAGTCCTCTCTCGTCTCGAGACCACCACCAAGAACTGACCTTCCATTTCTTTCTCAAGGAGGGTCGAGTCAAATCCCTGTCTCGTACCAGAAGCCCAGAGAGAGAAGAAGGTATGCGAGAAAAAACAGCCAGAGAAAGAGGAGGGAAGCATCGGCCCTCCGCGGGCAACGGGCTCAGCTTCGCAAAGCACCACGCAGAAAATCCGGCCCAAACTCAAAAAAAACCGGAGAAAAAATCGCCGGCCCAACCCCAACACACTGAGAAAACCAGCGGGGCCACGCACAGGAAAGCAACCAATCAGGGGAAGCCAAACAGTAAAATTAGGTCTAAATGAATAGTATCTTCAGTCTATGTGTACAGTAGGTGCCGGTCTTTGGAAATAATTCTCTTTAATTTAATGGCTTGGGTATATGAAGAGGAGCAGAGAGATTCCATGAAAACACCACAAAAGCAAATATTAACTATCAGAAGGAAGATGAGAGAATTTCAGGAGCAGGCCACTTACATTGATTCTCAAATACAAAGATCACTGGCGAAGTCCCACTTCCCTTTCAATGGGAGCAAACCAGAACTCTGCATAGTGGGATAATAGAAAGTGAAACAAAACGAAAGAAATGGAACTCATTAGGCTCCTTGTAACCTCGGGACTTCCGTTAGTCACATCATCACCAACGAAATCCATTTAAGCGCAATCAAGCAAAACCCATCGAGGTGTGCAAACTTCATACCAATCAAGATCGATACGAAATAAGAGAGCTTGAAAGAAGAAACAGTAAGAAGGGGAAATAGACCAATTCATCAAACGGAGAATAGGTGAACAATTTTGTGAACCCAAAACAGAACCTACAAATCTGGTTCTTCTCAAGACCACAGTTAGAGTTCCCATCTAAGTGAATCAAAACTGAAAAACCAAAGAAAGAAAAAAGAAGGACCAAGAGTTTATTGTTTGGTTCCAGGGTATTAACATATATCCATGAATGTGCCAAAAACCTCTGACATAAGCCATTTCTTCTTTTCCACTCCACTTGAGAATCTGGATCACATCCAACCCCTCGCTTAAAACTTAAACCCGATTCTCTCGCCATCAACTGCCAGATCTGATTATTCAAAACAAACAAAAACTGTCAGATCTGGGAAAGAAATCAAATGAACCCTTTGAGAGAGAAAGAACCCATTTAAAAACAGGGTGAAAACAAAATCATCATAAAAGGAAAAAACAACAGGGAACAAAACGATTGAGGCCACTGATGAGAAAAAAAAACGAAACAAAATTCTAGAGATCAAGAGCTCACCAAAAGATCCCATGATTTCCTCCACTTCAACTGATCTCCGCCCGAACCGGCCTCGCCCGAACCGACCGAATCGCCTGCCTCAAATCTCCGTTCAGCCCCGGCTGATTGTCGCAGCACACGCTCAATCTCATCATCTTCTTCTTACCATCTCCGCCGCCGCAATAGCTCACCGTCGCCCCGTCTGATTCCCCCGGGATCAAACATCATGGTTCAGCTTCGTTCAGCCCTGTTTGCTTCCTTAGCTGCCTCAAGCGGTCCACCGCCTCCGCCATCGCGCCAATCAATTGGAATTAGCTGGTTTAGAGTGCAAAAAGTTTCGTCAAAGAAGAAGAAGAAGAAGTGCAACTGATTAATTGATTAACCTTGACGCGCTCGGGGAGGAGAGAGCGGAGGGTGGAGAGGTGGGCGTTGATACGGTGGCGGGTTCTGGGAGATTTCCCAGTCGCTCGCAACCACAATCTGAAAGCTCACCGGATTTGTGCCTCCTCCGATTCCTCTTTCGGCTTCTCCTTCTCCAGTCGATCGCTCCAAGCTTCTGAGGGGTTGTGAGGAAAAAAACAGAGAGAAGAGAGTGGAGAGAGGAAAACCTCTGACATAAGCAATTTCTTCTTTTCCACTCCACTTAAGAATCTGGATCACATCCACCACCTCGCTTAAAACCTAAACCCGATTCTCTCGCCATCAACTGCCAGATCTGATTATTTAAAACAAACAAAAACTGTCAGATCTGGGAAAGAAATCAAATGAACCCTTTGATAGAGAAAGAACCCATTTAAAAACAGGGTGAAAACAAAATCATCATAAAAGGAAAAAAACAACAGGGAACAAAACGATTGAGGCCACTGATGAGAAAAAAAACGAAACAAAATTCTAGAGATCAAGAGCTCACCAAAAGATCCCATGATTTCCTCGACTTCAACTGATCTCCGCCCGAACCGGCCTCGCCCGAACCGGTCGAATCACCTGCCTCAAATCTCTGTTCAGCCTCGGCCGATCGTCGCAGCACACGCTCAATCTCATCATCTTCTTCTCACCATCTCCGCCGCCGCAATAGCTCACCGTCGCCCCGTCCGATTCCCCCGGGATCAAACACCACGGTTCAGCTCCGTTCAGCCCTGTTTGCTTCCTCAGCTGCCTCAAGCGGTCCACCGCCTCCGCCATCGCGCCAATCAATTGGAATTAGCTGGTTTATAGTGCAAAAAGTTTCGTCAAAGAAGAAGAAGAAGAAGTGCAACTGATTAATTGATTAACCTTGACGCGCTCGGGGAGGAGAGAGCGGAGGGTGGAGAGGTGGGCGTTGATACGGTGGCGGGTTCTGGGAGATTTCCCAACCGCTCGCAACCACAATCTGAAAGCCACCGGATTTGTGCCTCCTCCCATTCCTCTCTCGGCTTCTCCTTCTCCAGTCGATCGCTCCAAGCTTCTGAGGGGCTGTGAGGAAAAAAACAGAGAGAAGAGAGTGGAGAGAGGAAAATACTGTGAAACTAAATGCACTGCTGGGTTATATTCTATCTTTCCTCTAACCAATGCGTTGGTTAGAAATGCACTGTTGGGTTATATTCTATCTTTCCTCTAACCAATGCGTTGCTTTCTCCCAAGAATAAGCAGGCCCAACAGTAACGTGCGTCAGTTGGCGGTCCACTCACGGAGAGAAACGTAAGGAAGGGGAATGATACTTTCACAAAGAGATAAGGACGGTGTAATAAAGAAGACTTCAGAGGGAATGGCTGAGAGAAGTAGAGAAAGAAAAACAATAAAACAAAAGGGCAAGGGAAAATGAGCGTGCAGCTGAGGGCAACGCGACACACACAGCAACAACGGCGGGACCCAGACGCAGGCAGCCAACCAATCAGAAAACGCAGGCGGGCCCAATCGCAGAGCTTGGACCAATGGGGGACGGTGAACAGTAAAACTGAATCTAAATGAATAGTAATTCCGTGTCTAGGCGTACAATAGATCATGTCTTTGCAAATAACTTTTTTCAATGACTACGTTCTGAAATTGCCAGTGGAGGAAGTTGACTGCAGGCAATGGTCAGCGTTGATTCGGTTTGGTCCACCGGTTCATGTAAGTTCTTCTGCATCTAAGTCACCCGTTCTCTGTCTTGACCGGTTCAATTTGCACTGGCACAAGACCGGATTGAAATTGAAGGGAAGAGGACCAAAACTGGATTGAAAAACGCATCAGACTCGACTGTGTTGCATCTAAACTCTTCAGTCTGATTGATTTTTTGAAGATGTCAAAATTGAGATGGGACTGAATCGAAATGAAAAGTCTTGCATGATTGGAACCGAATCGAACCGTATTGATCTGAAATATCATAATAACTGCACATACATGTTAAGATACAATAGTAGCCTTCTTTCCCTTGGCACAGAAATGGTTTCCTAAGGCACCATCGAGACATTTGGATTTGTTATCACAAACCAATCCATGAACCCAAATCCAGAAAGCAAAGACATTGAGCAACTGGAATTTACACGAAAGAGTGTCTTAATGGCATGATCAAGGAATCCAAAGTATTGACCCAAAAGTCTGCAGCTGCCCGCAATGCTTACACTTGAGCTACATAGTCACCGCTAAGGTCAGATTCCAGTTCCAAGGAACCTGCCAAGTCATCCGACGTCCCAGCACCACTGCCAGTAGCTTGCTCGCCGCCAGCTTTGGCACCTTTCCCTGGTACCTTCGCCTCTTCGATGATACGCATTATCTCCTCCACGCTCTGAGCTGGTTGCTCACAGCCGCCTGCTTCGCTGAAGTTAGTCTTCTCGATCTCGACCAGCTCCTTGGGCAAGTTCTTGAGGAACCAAGGCAGCTGCTTTATCTCCGGAATGGTGATCCTCTTATGTAGGGAGATTTTCAAATGGTTAGTTTGGTTGTGAATGGAACCAATCAAAGCAATGAAATCAAATACATGGAACATCATAACCAAACCAAACCGAGTGCATCCACACAAGACCAAACTTAACAACATTTCCAGGAAGCGAATGAGTAAACCAGTACCTTTGCAGGATTGGCTACAAAAATACGAGAAAGGAGGTGCTTGCAGTCTGCAGAAACGCGTACATAATCTGGGATAGAGTACTGGACACTCATTATTCTCTGTGATTATCACACAGAAAGATTTTAGCTAACCGTGCAACGAGTTGGATAGAGATAATATGAAGAATACTTCTCTACCACAAAGGGTTGTACTTAATAACTCACCCCAATGGTCTTGCGGAAGTTCCTTGGATCATCAGGATCCTCAAAAGGGTATCCTCCGACAAGCATCACGTAGAGCGTCACACCACATGACCAAACGTCTGCAATCTAAAACTGATAAACCATCAAACTAACAGGGGAAATAGGAAGTGAATGATCTGCTGTTTCAACCATCACTTCAGCTTCTTTCATCTCCCTTTGATTTATTATTTTTCGGTAGTACACATTGTCAATGTAAAGCTAGGATGAAAGTGGAGTACAAGATTCCCTACAGAGCTACGGTTTTTGTCCATAACAAAGTCATAATCTATATATCCAATACCTTCCCATCATACTCCTTCCGTGATAGGACTTCCGGGGCGATATATGCTGGAGTTCCCACCGTCGACTTGGGTTGTGAATGCAATAGACCAGACTGAGACACGAAGACTGAGGAGTAAGAGAATGAAGCTCGGATTTAATAGAAGAACCAAATGGGGGAAAATAATCACACAAAGCTAACCTTTGAGTAACCAAAGTCACATATTTTAAGACGTGGACTAGGGCTTCCATCCAGAAGCGTGTTCTCAAGTTTCAGATCCCTGTGACATATCTCCTGCAAAGTGGAAAACATATCAGAGAATTATAAATAGAAATGAAAATGCAGTTGAAGGTTTCTGGTAAACTACCATGGAGTGGCAGTAGCTGACTCCAGATATTAGCTGCTGGAAGAAAAATCTAGCCTGCATGAAAAGGATAGGACAGAATGTAAGAAGACGTGCTGAAGAAAGTCAAATGTAGCTACGGTCTACCACTTTTTGACAAAAACCTCATCTTCGCTGAAACGTCCAGCACTGCATATCTTTGCAAACAGTTCTCCGCCGGCTGCATATTCCATGACGATGGCCAGATGTGTTGGAGTCAGCCAAACCTGCAGGTTAGAGCACTTTTCTGCTCATATAGAACTTGAAAGAAAGAAGTCATTTGAGTTTTTGAGACCACAAGTAATATTTCCACAATGTACCCTAGCATAATGTCTGTGCAGATAGAAATGCAGCCTGGTGCTAAGTGTGAAAAACAATTCATGGTTGCAATAGGTAAAGATCAAAGCCAGGTAAAAGTCGTGTAGCTGTGCAGTAAATCTAACTATCATCATACAACAACCACAAACTTGGATGTCATCTGAGAAGTTATAGGCTTACCTCTTTGAACCTCACGATATTTGGATGCCTCAAAGACCTGTGGTTGATGATTTCTCTCTGGACATGCTCATCAATCTGAAACCATAAGCAAAGCACTCCAGTTTAATGTTTTACATCTCAAATAAGCGCAACTAGACATGAAAGCGGGAAACTTGGCAGTATGACTACACGAACAAACATAACAAGGTCATATTTGGAAGCCGAATCAGGTAATGAAATGCAATATCAGGTCAAATTTCAGAAAACAAGACAACATCAAATAATCTCGAATTGAAAGTCTTAATTGGGTTTCTGATTCTTGTACACATATAAACTACAATGATCGTGACCTTCTGTTTACCAGTTCAAGAGCAGATAAAAAGATGACTCAATGAAACTCACAATTAACTTCTGATTGTCATCATGGTGGCAAATGGACAAATATTACCTAGAATGATTGTGACCCTGTTTGTTGTTAAAAAGCCAGATAAAATATTCATCCAATGGAAAATACTATTAACTTCTCGTTCTCAACAACTGCCCCCAGCAAGTGGGTAAAGGCAATTCAAATCTAGCAGCAACCAAACTAACTACCAATTATTTAATATTTATCAGACATCAAAGGCTGATTGATTTTATGTTTTAGTAAAGAATAGTTCTGATGATGGGTACTTAAAAAGGCATAACAAGTAAACAAGACATGCTAATGAAGGAGGACATCATGGATTCAAATAATTTGAAAGTTCATGTCAAGTCAAAGTGTTTTCTACCAATACATCAAAATCAATCACACATGGTACCACCAATTTGAAGACAAAATTGCATGATTTTTAACATGTATAGATGTTTTCTTATGTACGATGATAATGACCGTGGCACGTATGCACACCCAACAAAGATGACAGCATTTGGCAGGGAGCGGGGATTTTTTATGGTGACGGCAAATGTTAAAACAGTTGTTGATAAAATGATTAAGTTGTTTGCAGGATAAGAACCATTGATTTCGTTGATAAGACAATAAAGTACTAGAAGCATACCCAGCCTAGTAAGGACGTCTACAGAAACTTTACTAACTTGAAAATCCCGAACCCTACATGATCTAGTGAGGGAATCAAGTTTTGTTCTAACCCTACCCTCTTAAGCACAAGCAGGCAGCACTATCTTAAATCAACTCATCCAGCATAATTCACCATCAGACCTCTCAAAGACGATAACCATTTCCAATAGAAGCTCATATATCTTGGTTCAAAAGGGTACCATACTCAACTTCCACATTCTCTAAATTTCTTCACCTATGGTGTTCAACTCGGCCACTTTTGGCCTAGGAATGATCCCACCCACCAATAAGAAAGTTCATGTCAACAAATGACTTCTACAAAAAGCATGATCATCAGAAAGAACTTGGCATACTCATTTTTTTACATAATGCTAGACTTTCTTTCGCACAGTTAGAGCATATATCTCAAATCACAATGCAATGTATCTCACAGATGAAGGCACAAACCCTAATGAAATTCCTCAATCCATCTAAAACTCTGGAAGTAGATAGTTCTCAAAAAACTACTGTAAACTGTGATTGTTGGAATTCCAAACATCACAAAAATCTAAGAAGCATGGGAAATGAAAGTTATCACCGTTTTCCCTCTTTCGATGTACTTCACAGCAAGAAGTTCTTTAGTCTTCCTATCTTTCACCAGCCTCGCCACGCCGAAGTTCCCTGAACCAAGCTCCTTGATAGGCTCATACCTCTCCTCCATTTGAACCCTGATCACCACTCGAAATTCCACAGCAAGAAACCCAAATTGCGCAAATGTGAGAAAACCCAGCAATAGCAGCAGCAAGCGCTTTAAGGCTTCAACAGTCTGAATATGAAACTATGAACTAAAAAGAATAATTCTACACATTATCTTCCACCTAATCCAATTCTCAGCTTTCCCCACCCACAAAAGACAAACCCCAATTTATCAAAGCACTCATTATTAATCATTGCATAACAACTTCCTCAGTTCCTCTTCCTCCCCACTAGTCCAATTTCCAACAACCCACTTAAGGACATTCAACTAACCTGAGCAAGTAAGCAATTAACCACGGAGAAAAAGGAGAAGAAAATGGACAAAAGGAGAAAACAGAGTATAGTGGAAAGCTAGCTGTTTTGCTATGCTTACCCTTTCGAAATGGGGAAACAGGGGACTGGAGAAAATTGGTTTCTTTAGAGCCTCAGAAAGAAAGAAAGAAAGAAAGAAAGAAAGAAGCCAAGTCAAGAATAATTGAGCAACAAGAGGAGGGGAAGGAAATGGGCGGCTATAATGGTGACGACTGACAAGAGAGAGGAAACCCAAATGGCAAATTTAGAATCAAGAAGTAAACAAAATAAGAGCGCTCCGAATCCCCAATGGAGAAAGAACAAAGACCACCCCCAGAAAAAAGAACGAAAAAAAACATTACTTGATAATTATTAAAGTATTCGTTCACCAACAAACCGACCAACTGTTTAAAGAAACACTCACCGAATACAACAGGTCAACCGAATATGCAGAGGAGCAGAATTAGAAACAGAGAGCTTTTCTGCTATTTAATCTTCCTCCTAGCAGAGGCAGTAGGAGAAGCTTTTTGATTCTTCCACCACCAGCAGTAGAATGTATTGAAATTTGAAATTCTCTCTGTGTTTGTCCATTGCTTCGGGTCGAGTAGTCAGTCGTCAGTCATAAGTCATAATTAATGAGTAGGAGAGTTCTGAAGCCATGGAACACGTACCGCCGCACACGTTTTCCAGACGATGGTCCATTCCATTTGACGCCAATCGCCATAGCCTCGGACAGGGGTTGCATTACAAGTAGGGCAGGGAATGTTAGTCCAACCGAACTCGGAATGGCAACAAAACCCGAACACACGGGTAGGGGTGTTCAAACGGATTGGTTACTGTAGTTACAATATTAATCGGTAGAATTTGGTTAATTTAGTTTAGTTAATTTGGATAATTGGTTTGATTTGGTTAAAATTTAGCTTATTCGGTTAATGTGGTTTGGTTTGGTTTCAAAATTATTTACTTTTATTTTACAACAAAATTATTTATACTTTCATGCAACCAACCAAACCAAACTTTCGTGATTCGCTATTTTATTTCCATGTGCACAACAAACAAAGCACTAAGGGTCAAAAATTAAATGGGCATGCCTATTTACTAAACCAAAACATTTTGGACAGCTATTAGACTTTAGGATTACGTACAGTATCATGACAATCACCTCAAATTATGTATATTTTAAGTGTTTTGTAGGAGAGCTTTAACTTCCTGGTGAATGGTATTGGTATGTATTTAATATTTATGTTAAGGGGTTATTATAAGCTAACTATATTAGGTACAGAGATGATGAATGATGTATTAACTCGAATGATGATGATAATCATGGATGATTAGTCTTATTATTATTGCTAGTATATAATGATAGTTTATGATAGTAATAACATATGGTTATGTTGTATTCATTAACAGGATAATTGTTTTCATGTAATGTTATGTTATTTGGTTAATCCGATTATCCAATTAACCAAACCAATTTAATTTTGGTTTGGTTAATTTGGTTTTCGTGATAATTTGGACGGTTTGGTTAAGACATTTTATTCCATGGTTAATGAAATTTAGGCTTAATTGGTTTGGTTATTACCACTGTAACCATTTGAACACCCCTACCCACGGGTACCCACCCGACCCAACCCGGTCAACGCGGGTAAAACCCGTGTTGACGGGTTTTGGGCCGGGTTCGGGTTTAAACCCGTTACACAATTCACCGGGTCGGGTTTGGGTTTAGGTAAACCCGCCCCATGGGTATCCGCCCACACACATATAATTACTTTCCCGGTATATTTAATATTCTAAATAATATATCTTCCTTAAATAACTAATATTCTATATGTTTGTGGAGACATGTATAATTTGTTCTTTCTAATTGTTTAGAAGGAAGTTGATATTATAAAGTGGAGAGTGAAGAAACTTAGTTGACGAGGAAGAAGGTTTAAATTAATCTTATTGTTTATATATGTTTATCTTTAATTTTGAACAATTTGTATTGATCATTTGCGGTTTGCTTGTATGCTCTAGATTGGTGTTTTTTGTATGATCAATTTGTATGAGAAAATTGATGTTAAACTTTTATTTTGAAAGAAACTTGTTATTGTAAATTTTTACCACAAAAACCCACGGGTACCTATGAACCCGCGGATACCCAGCGAGTTGGGTTCGGTTTGAGTTTTTCAAACCCAACAGGTTTTACCCCGGTTTTTTGGCAGATAAACCTATCGATTTGGGTTTGACAAAATCCACCCCAACCCGACCCATTGCCATCCCTAAACCGAACCAAGGTAGCTGCTCTGTACCAGTGTTCCTTGCTTGGTGATAGTACGTACAGAAGCTAATAAAGAGCCGGGCCTGGTTCGGTATTTAATGAAACGTGGGCCACGTATAGTCAACTGGAAGGAGAAAGGCCCAGTATGGGAAGCGAAATATTAGGCCCAGTATGTTTAGAATGGGCACGAGTTGTAGGTGATGAAGAGGTGCTCATTGGAACTGATGGATACGTGCCAAAAAAAAAGGGTCTATAGTTCGAATATTGATTCAATGCAGCCGTGCAACGTATGGCTAGAATGGGCAACCATATAAGTTAAGAGGTTGTTTGGAAGTTATGATTTTAGATGAATGACTTTTTGAATTCATGTATTTTGGAGAATCCATCGTTTTTTTGTTCCAAAATTTTATTCAATACATGCATTTGATGTGGGCCCTCAAATCTCATATCACCCACAATCACTCATTTTAAATCTCAACAAAAATGTGAGATTCTTCCTTTGAGATTGTTGGGTTTAATTTGTTTCACTTTTAGCTCATAAAGTGATTTTTTCTTTTCTTTAAAATTTTTTAATGGCTACAACCAAACAAGACATTCTTCCAATCATCTAATTCTTACAATCTTTGTATTTACAATAGATGTAGTCATCAAATACACATATTTGAAGAATCTCAACTTCCAAACGACCTTAAGATTTGTCATAGAGAATTTCAGCGACTAGCATTTTTGTCGATTGCCAGTCACTTATTAAGATGACCTCGAAAACCAACTTTATTTTCTTCTGGTAATATTTTCCGTCAAAATGTTCTTTGAAATTCTGGTCACAATTCTCTAAATGAAATCACTCTAGAGTAAAAGAGGAAGCTTACTATATTTCCGGCATTCGCTGAAAGATCCTCATCGGCGTTTGCTGTAATAACTAACTAATAAATCATTCAACTTTATTGCCTCTTCATTCAAAGTCTCTGTAGGTAAGGTGGGTGGCTCTGTATTGTATATTAGATGCTAATTCTCCCATTTGATCATATACCCAGTCGCCATATCTTCCATAAATGGTCGCACATTGTTTCACTGCCCTTCTGCTGTTCTGCATTAGCTTCACATTGGTCATCTGCAGCAACAAAAAATGATCTGGATTTTGAGTACTTGAAACTGATTCTCCGTGGAAAGATCAATGTGTATACTATACCCTGAACTCAAAAGTGCATGGGTTGCTTGCTTTATGTAAATTTGAAGTTGGATCAATGTTTAAGTTATATCAGTTTTACCTCAGAACCTTAGAATGCAGAAACAATGAACCGAAAATGGAAGCGGCCAAAACACCTTATCATTGTTCACATCCTCGTCAAGAACAACTCCCATCCCATGCAATGAAGGGAAGTTACAGGGATCGGGGCAAACCGAATTCAAACCGTACAAAATTTGGTTCGGACATTTTCCGTAATCGAGTTTTCTTCGACTCGAAATCAGTTGTGAAAGTAGTAGTAAGTAATACTAAAGAATGCGACGATGATCATAGTAATAGTAAGGTGTTACGGTGGTGGAAGTTATCCCAGTTGAAGTCTCCGAAACTGTGCTCCAACTGTTACAAACATCCCAGATGTTGCAGGGTGTTAAGGTTTGTTGTTGCTTTCTTCTGGTAGAAAAAGACCAGCATCACCAGCATAAAAGATAATGTTCATCATCTTCTGGCAACCCTAACTCTTCTATTACCCCTCCAAGGGACTGTGAAACCAGCAGCAGCAGCAGCTCTACCAGGACTCTCTTCTCCCACTTCTTCGTCACTGGTTTCATCAGACCTCCATCTAGGCCCGCCATTTATGATCTTGTCGATCAATGAAGCCTTCTTGCCACCACTGAAATACGTCAAAGGAGACGTGGGGTTAATCCATGGAACAACGGGTGTGTTTGTTCTGTCAAAGATAAATATATAATTTTGAAGTAAAGGTTGATTTTGGAAGCTACAACAATTCACCTCATAAGGACAACATCCATGGGATCTTTTACAGAAGTCGCATCAAACCCATCTGTTTCAACTTCGGTGTAACTATCCTGTTGATGGTAGTGATGCAGGTGTCGGTTTGAAGATCTGCTCGTCTCCTTCGCGGGAGTTGAGACATCGTCAAGTTTTAAGTTCCTGCTGATGCTGCTGCTTTGGTGGTGATTCTTCAACCCTGCTGGAGTGCGGTAATTGCCATTATCAAACCGGCGATTGGCTGTCATCGATCCACCTACGGTTGCTGGAGTTTGATGATGAAGAGATGATTTGAATGGAGGATTGGCATATTCTGAAGGTAAAACAATAGAAGAAGACTTTATATTTGAGGGAACCACAAAACTGCTTGAAAAAGTCGGGTGTTCTTCTATTGTAGCGTTGGACTTTCCAGGTGGATCGGTCTCTTCATCAGGAGTAGAGCCGCAGATTCTAAGAATACCATCCTTAACCAGTTGCTGTTGAATCGGGGACAACAGCTGCATAGATTTCTCCTGTTCAAAGCATATAGTTACTTAGCACGCCGACTTGAAGCGACAATTCATTGTGGGATGATAACAAATTTAGCTGACAAAACTCAATCATGGTGATAAATATAGACAAGCTATAACAGAACTTACAACGAGTGCAGACCTCCAGTGACTTGCCGACCTCATTCTTGATAGAACTCCTTCATCAATTGAATTCACCGAGATAAAATCCTGCTCCACATGCTGAAGCTTGGCATCGACTTCACATGCCTCGGTGTAACGATATCGCTGCAATGATGGAATTCGCCACACACCAAATGCTTTTACATAATTGCGGTATTAGATATGGCACGACAGCATACTCTAAGAAACAAACTATAAACAGATTGTTTGCTATTTCAAGAATGTTTGTTTTTCATCTGTGTTCCTTATCACTAATATACAATTATCCAATGCTCTCCATACGACTTCCCACTGATTTGAGCTCTGTCAAATGCTACTTTAAAGTAGAGCATCGATTCTATTGTGAGGAAAAAAAGAGATAGGGGGAGAGAAGGGAGACTGGCTTAAGTAAATCATTACCTGAAGATAGTACACTACAAGAAGATTTCCAGTAGTCGTTGAAGGATCATGGATGGCACAATCAAGAAGAGACTTACGAAGATACTTCTCTTCATCCGAATTCCATGGCAATTCAATCATTCGATCCACCAAATTCCTTTTCATGCAAAGACAACAAATTTCAGTTACCAAAGTCTCCAGCCAGTCCCCCCATCTGCTGGATTTGGTTTCTAAATCGTCAGGACCAGCCTTTGGTGGTCCTCCCTTTGAGTTCTTCTCCCTAACTTTGGTCCATTGCATTCTTTGATACATGAAAGCTTCAGTCAGAAGTCCACATTCCACCCTGACCCTGACTGCAGTAACAGCCTCACTAAGTGACACAATTTCTGATCCATCATGCCCACACCACCGAAGCACCATTAAAGCTGTTTCTGGAACTCCCCGTTCCAGCAATACTTGAGCAATTTTTGGATGAGTTGATGGGCCACAGATCTCAGGAAGAAGGTTAATAGCTTCCTGAAGCAATAAGCACATTCAACAGTCACCATATGACACTCAAAGTAAAGCAGGATTGCCAACACTTATTGCCTAGGATTAAAGACTTGAAGATTGTTGCAAAACATTGAAGGATATCACTTCAGGTTCACAGTTCCCTTTGTTCTTGTGCACTAACAAACATAATTGATAGAATGAAAAATTCAATGGTTCAAAAGCTAACATATACAGCACATTCAGAAAGAGAACAGGCAAAATTGTGCATAAAAGTCTCAGATGCAACCTAAACTAGTATCTGATAGCCAGAAACAAAAGAAAGGGAGAGAAAAAAGATCCAAAATCTTTGCCCCACAACTGAAAGGAGGGAATTATTAACTAGTTGAAAAGCAGTAACCATATTATTGATTAGAAGAGAAGTGAGAGATGAAGCAAACATGTAAGTCCTGACCTGCAGAGCTTCATCACTATCATCGTCTAAAAGATAAAATGTTAGTGATTCTATCAAAGAATGTCTAGTTATTCCAAATGTAGCTGCAAAGTCGTCTATGATACTTCTCCAGTTGTCATCTGGTGTTGTCCAATGCCTGTCGAAAATGTAGTAAAGAAACTATTCGTTCATTAAGGAAAAGAAAGAATGAAAATGTACATAAATCAAGCATCAATATGCAATATATATGCATGACTCGAACACATATACACGTGTGCATAATACATATAGGATACAATTGCCTCCTTCGCAACCACCGTGTCAGAACTTCCGGTTAGGAAGAGCGCATCAACAGCAGCTTGGAGGCTTTCAAAAGGATAGCATATTGCCAGTCCCTCTAGTTTAGACCTGAAAAGTGACTCTCTATCCTTCTGCAAAGATGCAAGCCGCAATTCTTCTTCCATGTGCTGTGGATGACCTTGAGGAATTTCAATATTTGATAAAGCATCTTCAATGAAGAGAGAACCTGCATGCATACTCGACTCAGCAGAATGATTCACCGCATCAGGCCATGAACGCTTAATTGCAGCAGCCTTCCTTGCCCGTACAACAGAGCGCCATGATGCTAAATTTCCATACCGAGTCCTCACATTTTCCAGAAATTCATTCCGTATACACCAGGTCATAATGTCAGCATGCTGAAAATCAAGGGCTACAAAATTGTCAATAGTAAGTCCATTAAAAGGAACAGAGGAACTCATACAAAGACTCAGGATTCTCTTTGGGAATGTCAATAAAGCCTTTCTCCAACTCAATCAAGCAAATCAGTCAAGCAAAAACATAGCACAACAATTACTACTTAAGGAGAATAATGAATGATATCTAAAGAATGACATGTTTTAATTATTACAAAGATGTCAGTTCAAAATGAATAATGCAGAGGCTGCAGATTGAAGTTATAATGGCCAGCAAAACTAGTAAGTTAATAAACCTGCTTTGCCTTTGAGACACTTTCATGCAGAAACTGCAAGTCGTTGAGTTGTGCTGAAGAGCTTCCTTTAAATGATGAATCCAGAACTTCTAGCACATTGGATATCTCATCAAGATGGGATGAAAGCTTGAGAAGTAAACCAATCCTTTTACCCATGTCTTCTGCTGCAGGATCATCTGACAAAACATCAACTTAATGAGACACTGAGCAACAGACCCGTAAGTGTGCATCAAAGAAAAAGCAATACAAGTTTCAACAGAAAAGTTCAAAGAGCCAGAAGGATACATATTGAATGAAGCTCTTCAATGATATTCTGGAATGTTCTTTTGCACCAGTCCTTCACAACTACTTCATCCAACAAGAAAGCAATTACTGGATCACTAGACACGGCACTCTCATCCATGCAAACATCAGTAACATCTGCAGCTCGGTGAAGGATATCTTTTAATTATGTATTCATATTTCTCATGAGAGAAGCACACAAACTACAGAAAATGCAGACAGAAAACATGTTTAGCCACATCGCCAATGAGGTATAACTTAATCACTAAGTAAGCAAGGAAACAAAATTTTAATTTCAACAAACAGAAGCATATGGAGACAGTAAAGGATAACGTTAAAAACAAAGTCAAGGATACAGTGGCAAATCAATGAGACCAGGTTATTCTCCATAGCAACATCAAACAAAGCATAGAGACGGAGCACATCTGCAGTCAATTGATCATCACCATCTTCTTTCTCTTGAAATCTTTCATCACATCTTTTGGAGATGAGGCCCGCCTCTATGCACTCACAGTAAAGTCGAGGACGAAGCCTACTGTTATTCTTTGGGATGGGAATTCTGCAAATTGGGCAGGAGTCGCATCTTTGACTACACTCTTTGCATAAGGAAGCATGCCCACATGAGTCCAATACATGCTGCACATAACGTCCACAACTCCTCAAATCTCTGGTTGCCCGACAGCGCTCAACTTTTGCTTCACTGCACAGCTCAATTAAATCAATTGATGCCAGATGTTCCAATGCTTTCTGAAAGAATGACAGCGAGAATGAGACTAATTTGTAGCCTAGCTACCAGTTTGTTAAGAGATCATGGGGGCTAAACATATTCAAGCACAAGCAATTATGAATACTGATTCCCAGAAGAAGATTTCAAACTCAAATAAACATAAACAGTGCCTACTTGGATCAAAATTAAAACTTTTAAATTTAGTTCGAGCAATCTCCGTACAAATAAGCAAAATGTAAACTTCAAAACCAAAGACCAAGAAGGAATGGTAGGTAGAATAGAATACACAGTCTACAACGGTCTACTGAATGACACTAAACTTGGAGCAAGGCATCCTTCCAGATAAGGTATCAAAAGTTCAATACCAGTCCGTAAAACTGCTTTTCTCGACTCACTTTTCCACATAAACAGATTCATAAGACTCTCAAGATGAATACAACCACCAGGAAATGGAGATCATGCCTAAAGTAGTCATGCTTTCCTAGATTCGCTAGCTCCACTTCTGAATACAGTATATAAATAGAAGGGGAAAAAATCACAACCCATCAAAAGATCACATCTTTGAAGTCTTTCACAACTTTGATTAACCAAAAATAATACCCGCTAAAGCCCCAAGAGCAGCATTTCACTCAGAACCTCAGAGTTTAAACAGGTACACAACAACATTCTGGAATTCGAACTCGACCAATATCCAATATATCAACAATGAATGAATTGCATAACAGCAAACAACACGAAATGAATGCCCTAAATTTCCCACTTCAATGCCCAATGGAATTCACAGCAAGACCCAACTTAAGATAAACAAACTGTGAACGAAAGATTACGTGCAATCATACCACTTCAATGCCCTGGTGATCATACCTAAATACCCAAGTGAGGTTTTCGTTTCTGAAAATATTATAGAAAGAGAGTAAAATATCAACCCACCACTATATCAAAATGTGGCATTCGTCTTTCCAACTTTACCAAGCCAAACAAAATCTCTGATGGAAAGCAGCAACACGACCACTCCAACACTGGAATTCATAGTGGAGAAATCCTACCGACATTAACCGAATTGAATAGAGAAGGAAATGGCACAATTTGACTGCCCTAAAACCTAAACCAACATCAACTTCCAACAGTATTAGAAGTAAGCTCCAAGTTACCATCACTTAAACCCTAACGAACAATGAACGCAACATAAGGTTTTAGGCCTTCCGGAACCCAAAATGCTCTATATTCAATCTAAGTAAACCAGCGACCGTAGAGAGAAAAGGAGCTGCTTACTTGAACGGCCAGGCTACTGTAGTTTGGTTGGAGAGGAGGAGAAGCCGATCTCGCCGACGCGGCGTGGCGGGAACCAGCACCGGCGGAGGTGGAAGGTGAAATCCGGCCGTTGAATAAGTTTTTCTCCATGATTACTCTTAAACTTCGAAGGAGGATCTTTTGGCGCGGTGGTAAAAACTAAAAACACTAAAAACTGGTTGTAGAAGCGGAAAGGCCGACAACAATCGATGGCAAAGCTTCAGCAAAACGATAGTGGAGCGACGACCCACCCTTTGTCTTCTTGTTCGTGCGCTGAGCTGATTGAATTTTTTTTTTTTGAAATGTTTGGGGATTTTTCCGGATTCGCCGGAAATTTGGCCAAACGCCGGGTTGTTAATGGGCTTTCTCGGGCCGAGCGAGTTGGCTGTGCCGGGCCATGGATATGTGAGGCCCGCGGCTTGAGTTCTTGCATATTGGCATGTCAATAAAACCCGAACCAACGTATAAAACTCGCGTGGAAGAGTTTTAGGTTGGATTTGGGTTTAAATCCGTACATTATTCACCGGGTTGAGTTGGGTTGGGTTTGGATTTAGGGATATCCGACTCAATATGTAATTTTATTGGTTATGTAATAGTAAAATAATTTGATTGTATATTAATATTTTATTTATGAATAGTAAAATAATATGAATATGTTATTTTATTGGTTTTGTAATCCTTGATATTCTCAACACCCAATTAATAAAAACCTACTTAAGTATTAGTTTAATTAATTTGAAGAATGGAGATCATAAAAAGAGTAAATATAATATAATAGTCAAATCTTTGATTAAAAAAAAATAATAGCTAAACCTTTTCAGAAATAATATAATAGCCAAACCTTTAACTTTTCATTCGGTCCAACGTCAGTTGACTCTGTCGTAGCTAAAGTTCAGTGCGATGGAAATTTTTTGGTTATGTGGCAAGGACTCAAATATTTGACCATGCCACATGATATATTTATAATGCATTGTTTATAAATAATTTTAAATGTAATTAATAATGAAATAGTCTATAAAAATAAATTAGATCAATTTATAATTTATAAGAAAATGACCATTCAAATAATGTGAATTTTTTAGTTTTAATTTTACTAATACTATAACTCTATTTGATATTTAATGTCTTTATTTATTGAAAATGTTAAGCATTCCACTATACTAGCTTTTTACCCGCCCGTTGGGCGGTGCATTCGTATTGTTGTTTTATTTTTAGTCTATTATTTTTTTATGATTTATGTATGTTAAACTATTATACATTGATTTGTTAATCTCACTTACTTGATTTTAGGTATTGTTACATACTTTTATATCTTTTGTTTATTTATTAAAATTTGATTTTATTAAATGAACTCTCAGTAGATCTTTATTTATTTATTTATAAGTTAGTATCGAACCCACAATTCAGGATATATACATAAGAGATTATTAATGTTTTAACACACAATAGTGACAAAGAAGTTTAAAAAATGAATTAAGCAAATATGTTTCAATTAATAAAAAAATAAGCAAAGAGATTTTCATTTCTTCTCCCTTCTCGTATGTTGGTATGATAATACATAATATCGCGCTCTAAATCCCACGAACATCGTGCACTATCACTTACTTGTGCAATTTTGGAAGAATGAGAAAATGCATTTGCATCCACATCATCAATCTTCAGCTTATTCAGTTAATTTATCTTTAAAATGTTCTAGCAAAACCAACCAAAAATATAACTATTAGTTGTCACTAATTTATTAAAACAATATTTTTCAGCAAACTAAATTGCATATAAACACAATTTATATTTGTAGAGAGCTACATACCCCCTTCAAAAATAAAACAATGGTGTATTTTTTTTACCTAATACAACATAGACGAATTGTAAACCTCAACTCATTGTATCTTGTAAAATCTTCATTCATGAACACGGTTGATGCATCAATCCAAATAGCTGTTGTCAAGAAAACGATCAGGCTAAAACCAAATTTTAGTTAGAGATTCAATTAGGCAAAATTTCACGCGAAGGAAACAAACAAATGTCATTGCAAACGTGTAAAAATTGAAAGAACGTCGATTTGAGCAAGGAAATTTACGATCAAGCCGTTGTAATATGGAAGAAATTAAGAAACAAATGGAAAGAAGAGTTTAATATGGCTAGTCAACCACAAACAACTACATATCTCTAGGAAAAAGAGATCAGTTGTCAGCTACAGATCAAGGGTGAAGAGGGAGGAATGAGCAATCATCGACTTCATTCAATTCGTCTTCACAATGATAGGATGAACTTTTTTAGTCAATAGTCAAATATATGTTACAGTAGCTCAATTGTTTCCCATCTAATCATTGTCTTATATAACTCCATCCTCGTATTCTCTTACAAAGAGTAAAACCTCAATATGCCTTACTATTTCCTTTCATGTATCTGTTTGAAAAAAGTAGAGAAAAGAAATGTTATAAATCTTAGGATTTTGAGCAAATAAAAAGAGACGTTTGTTTGTTTTTATGGGGCTTGATCCAATTTTTTATTTTCTTATTTTCAATATTGCGCTTTATTTTTATAGAGAGAATTTGTATGAGAAAAGGGATAGAAACAAACCAAAATGTTGCATTCTGTGTTATTAACTTAATTTATGTTTTATTTATAGTGATGATAATTTAAAGAGTAAACAAAAAAATATATAAGCAAGAATTAGAACTTGTCCATACTGGAAGGGTGAGAGCTAACCATTCGTTGATGTGACACTAATTTAGTTTTTAATTCCTATAATATTAAGTAATGATGGTTTACAATTTTTTGAATTTTTTTATAAACTTTAAGAATTCATACAATTATTGTGACATTTCACATACATTTGAATACTCAGATTTATTATAGACAAATTTATTGTAAATACAAATTGCTTATTTTACAAAATAGAAAATTCCTATTTGATACTTTGATATTGAAAATTTTTTATTATTGCCAAAAGTTGGCATTGAGTCATAGACTCGCACCATATAACCAAAGGATTTATTACAATTGCCTTATCAAGTTCATTCTTATTAGAGATTCTTCATTTTAACCCAATACCTTGATTTAGATTCTTGTAAACATAAAAGTTTTTTGTTTAGATATCTCAACTAACACACTGATATTTATTTATTGTCTCAATCCTCAAATTTTGATTTGTCTAAAAGACATTCAACTACTAATGAAAATTGTCCAATCCTTATTTGATCAATGCCTAGGTTAGTGATTGATGAAATGTGATATTTATCATATATTCTCAACAAAGATTCCTTTAACATTCACATGTGTCATTTTTTAAGGTATATTGTGTCTCGTCTTAAAGTATGAAGTCAAAGTTCGTCAAAACTTATACTTAAGTCATTTTGAGAACTTTGATATATAATCCTCGACAATAACTCTAAATCTGAAAAGAAAATTTATTAGCATACCATTTATGACCTCAATTGAGTTTTCTCAACCAAAATCATCTAAATCAAATATTTTAATGTGAACTTAAACCAAATTATAAAATATTGCACATGTAATTACTTTTCATTTGAGAAATTTCAGGTAGAACTTGAATATATGTTTTCACTTCATCAGGATGAATACAAATGTTTTTAAGAAATTAATAAATTATTATTATTACTCGATCAAGTTATATTTTGACAATTATTTTATTATATGAAATAATTATTTATATAACAATTATTTTAATTGGTAGACATATATATTATAAAGAAGAGAAGGTTTAATATATAAATTCATATATTTCATTTCTCAAATTTGATTGATTGTCAAATGCTTGGTTTGTCTCTTTATGTTATTATAATTTATTTAATAGACAACTTTTTTTTCATTCCCGAGGAAGTTTATATTTTTGTTGAGTCCTCTCCCCTAATGGTACAGAACAATAGTCATTGGAGTAGATACACAAATCACTTTTAATACAAAAAGCCGAGTAGGCGGATTGATTCGAGTGGAGAGGAAAAAAAACTACGGATTCGAGCCATAGTACATGGTTTCATAAAAGCGTATGCTTTTCCCGATCTAAATAAAGCGGGTTTTCCATGAAGAAGACTTGGCTTTGGCTCAACATGTTATATTCGATACGTGTATGTACTTATTTAAATTTTTCATCAAAATGAGTAGATAATTCACTTGATAAGATTTAATCATATATTTGTGTAAACAAACCCGATATATGTCATTCTTTGTTTTCATCTTTATATTTTGTTTAATTGACAAAAAATATTATTATTTATGTTTTTTTATTTATATTTCAATGTAACTTATTATTAATGTTGAGTAAGCATAAATACTAAAAGAAGAGAGAGATATCTTAATAAATAGGTCAATAATAAATTTTTTTGTTAGTAAAAAAATGTCCACCTTGGCAACTTGTTATTTCTCCAAGTGCTTATGTGGTAAGATGTTACTTTTGAATTGCCATAATATATAGTATAGATATAGATAGATATAGATTATTTATTTAATTATTTCTCTTATCCTTCTCTCACACACCCACCGTATGAAGGCACACTCCCAAACATCTCTCTCTCTTACTACGCTTCATCCCTCTCCCTCTTCTCTAATACCAGAGCAAGAGAAGCTTTGTTCTTCTCATCTCTTTTCCCTAGCGATATCAGCATGCAGCCAACGAATTGTAGGGATCAATTTCAATCATAGACTTCTAATTCGAAACTCAAGCTTCCATCTTCCACCGGTGAATCCCACCGCCGTCACCCACTGCTCCATGATTGCCAGCCAATCCATTCACCATCATCGACCCGCTCGGCCCAAGCACAAGTTGTCCTCCCATCTAAAATTTTGAATCTGATAATTGACATCTATTCCCGCCCACTGCCGCCGTTCGATGACACTCCATCTGATCCTAAATGGAGGTAAAACGAGATTGCATGTTTCAGTTTTCGATTTATGAGATTTCGATTTGGGGAAAAAGGTTACAATCCAGGCTATTTGTTAGTATTTTTGGAGAGGTTTCTGACGGGAAGAAGATGGGAGAGAGGCTCGCCGCTATTCTCGTCGCCTACTAGAGAGCATCCAGGAGATCGATCAGGAATAGAAGGCGAGCTCTCTGGATTTTGGGAAGGAAGAACGAAGAAGTTGTAGCTCAGTTCGATTTGAGGAGATGGCGGATTTTTGGGACAATGAAGAGGGAGCGAGTGAGCTTGGATCTATCATACTTCTTGGGAGATAGCCATGATTTTCTCTGGTTTGGGTTTGCATTTGGGGAGAACGAAGAAGAAGATGGGAAGAGAGAGGAGAAAGGAGGGAGCTGTCCAAAAAAAAAAGTAAGAATAAATGTGAAATTGTCGTTTTCTCTCCGATTTGGAGTGTTGGGTTCAACAGTGATCCATCCCTTCCTTCTCCTTCACCTCCACAAATCAATGTGCAAAGCTTCAGAAACGGAGGAAAGTTCCTCGAAAATCCCACTCTCCCCCCTTTCCTTTCCTTCGTTTTCCGCTCTAAAAAAGCAGAGGGTAAAGTAGTTTAAAGACATCGAATTTTAAATTTTAGGGTAATGTCTATTTTTTATCCAAATCTTTTTTAGATTCTATTTTTTATCCAAATCTTTTTTAGATTCTTTTATTTTATTCAAATCTATTAAAATTCTTTTAATTATCAAAATCTTTCGTAATGTATCAAAATATTAGCCATTTTTACGTTATAATTAATAATTTTTAACTCTTTTCTTAGTTAAATTATTAAAATTTCGGAATGTTGACCTTCATGAATCTCTTCCAAGTCAGTATCATGTTGTCAAGTCAATATTACTAACATAATTGCTAATTGGAAATTAACATTTGGCTAATTCTTAGTATTTCGATAAGTTTGGATGATATAAAAGAAACTGAAAAAGGTTTGGATAAAAAATCGACATTACCCTAAATTTTAATTGGTACCATTAGTCTAATATGATGATATAGCAATGATCATAACCCATCAATGCATTACCCTAAGTCCTAAACCTTCAATTTTGAACCCTAACCCTAAACCCCAAATTTGTAAACCTTAATCTTAAACTCCTCAACCCTAAACCATTCAAATCAAAGTAAATCTTGAGTGACTTTTTGGTAAATTCATGTGTTTTATTTTCCATCGTACAAGTAACGATTGACATCATTTTGAGATGAATCGCCTACTTAGAATGATGATGATGATGATGAGGCGAGTGCATAACATGCACCCAAAAAAGTGTGTGCACCGAAGACAAACCTACGTTTTGATATATTTTAGAATAAAAATAATCTATTAGTCTAGCACCCTATGACATCATGTACAATAGCATTCATGAACTATCAGTTCTTCTATAGTGTTACCAGTTCTATATGTTAATTCCTAATCACATTCCCGCTATCAATTTTTGCTAGATTGTCATGAAAGTGGGTATCACCTTGCTGACTGGACTTTGAATAAGATCCCAACCTTTTTAAAGTCAATTTAAAATGATCATGATACTCCCTCTTAATTCATGATTTACAAATTGGAAAATAAAATCTGCATATATATAAGAAGAAGAAAAAAGTACGTACTTATTGAAGAATAGTCAACCCCTAAAGGTTATTCATTAAGTTTTTAATTTATAGAGTATCAAATTTTGTGTTGCTCACTAGATTGTGTATCATCGTTAGGGAAAGAATAAATCTCATAAAATATTCACGAGACGTGTATTTTACTGTGTGTAATGTTTAGTGTTTCCAAACACTTTATTATGAAAGATTTGCTTTCAATGAAAATATAAAAGAAAGAGAGAAGGAACAAACTACTAAGAAGATAAATGTTTAATTAAAGAAGGAAAAATGCATTGTACTTGGTAGAGATGATGGTGCGTTGGAGGACAGAGGAGGAGCGATTACATGGAATCTAAAATGAAATTTGCAATAATTTGTTATAGCGATGAGCAAATAGTGTAGTCTCATTAAATTTTTAGGACTTGATTTTCTTGCCTAGCTTTTGTTTTTTTTACTTTCAATAAGGACTTTAGCAAGATATCAGATTAGCTAGTTGAAAATTATACGAGTATGATATTTCCAGTAACTGAATGATTTGAATTTTTTTTATGGTGGATGAAATAAAAAACATGTTTTGCCTCGAACAATGACCATGATTATTTTTGCTATTAACGAAATTCATCAGGCCAACGGCGGGCCCAAATCTAGTTTGAATTAAAAAAAATTATGATTTATTTTGTGAGGCGGATTAAATGGTTTATTAGATATTTATGTAATAATATGATTTGAAATTATTTATGGTCAAGATAACTTCATTATTAAATTAGTATCATATACAAGTCTTGTATGTTATATATCATGAACGTTCTATCTCTATCAACGGTTAAATATATATAGTAATAGTTTCGCACATAATTATCTGTTCATGTATCTTATGCTTTTAACGACATTGTTACATTTGGTGAAAATGTTTTTCTTCTAAATATAACCACTAAATCCGAATTAACAAATGTCATGAAAAATGAGAAAATTGTGGTATATTCACGAATATAGTGATTATATAAAAAAAACCATGTTAAGCATAAAATTATTACGGTCGTAGATGCAACAAATTTCAAGCTCTAAGAAGAATAATCATCTACGAATTGGCCGTGTTAACCTGCCTTTCTATAAACAAAAATTGCCCCTCAGCTAGAATATGAACGAAGTTCATCAACTGGAACGGCATACTGCGACTCCCAATCAGCATCAAAAACGGCCTGGAGCTGCCTCACAATTGCAGGGTGGTGCGTCCCAAAGCTGACACCAGCCGTCGTGTAGAAATAATCCCACACCAGATTGCTCGTGCCTATATGCGCTCTCACGTCGCTGACTGCATACTTCCCATGATTCACCCTGGTAAAACCAGGATACAAGTTCCCCGTCCTCGTCTTCCCGTTGCTCGTCAGGCTAGGCCCCGTGAGGTTGTAGCCTGGAACCATGTAGTACTTGATCTCGACTCGACCGCTGCAGTGGTTGTATTTCGACGAAGAACACAGGACGTTGGAGTAGAGCAGGGATTTCAGGTACTGGTCTGTGTTGTTGATGTTGTGCCCCCAGTATGCTACCAGTATCTTCACCGTGGCGTGCTTCGAGAAGACAACCTGTAACATTCAACTGGATTTCAGCTCAACCCATAAACCAACGAATCTATCATAGATGCAATCCCAAAAAGTAGCATCAATGCAACACATTTGCCACTCCTGAGTGGAATGAATTCATATCATACCTGTGATATTGCAGAAGAGAGAGATGACCAGTAAACCGCGTCATCTGTGAATTCTGACTGCCCAAGCCAATCCATGGTACTAATTTTTACCGTCATCCCAGTTCCAACGGATTTGATTGTATCAACCCAGCCCTGGTCATCAGTTTGATGGTTCCCAAACAGCAGCTGCCAGCCAAATGGGTGGAAGGATCAATAACAAATAACAATGAACACAAAGAACAGAATGTCCAATGCAGCAAGAAAAGCCAGCAGAGAATTAATTACCTCAGGTGGAGCAAAAGACAGGTAGTTCATTTGAGGGCTCAGAGTCGAGTAGTTAGATCCAGGAGTCTGAATAGGAAGCTTCAACATTCGTGGGTCTGATAATATAGGGTACCCTCTAACATGGGGAACCTCCACATAACTAGGGATAGGCGACCTGTAATATTTGACAAACCATCCAACTACATAGACTCAAAGAAAGAACTCATTCGTGCTATATAATCAAGATTCAAGACATAATCAAAAGGCCTCTATGAACTATATTTTACATACCTGCACCTTGCTCTACGATCAATGAAATGTGACCAGCATGGAACTGTTCTATTAACCTGCCATTCTTGATCCCACACCCTTCTTGTATGAATTGATGAATTCAAGAATGCAAGCTTCCACAAGTTATCAAAGTACACCTCCACAGCTTTAGCTATGTTTGGACAATCAACGAGATAAATCCCCAGTTCTTTGACCTGTGAAAGGGAAAACCCCACCCCAATAAGAACTCGCTATACGCTCGACTCGAATTGCCTGCTCTCATGATTTGTCGGGTATTCATGGGAATCGATGTAGCCCGAACTCGCAATTACCCAAAACGTAAATGAACCAAATTGTAACAAACTTTTTTCAGATTACCTGAGTTAGGGATTTCCAGTCATTATTGGCGGAACCAATGTACACATCTCTACGATCAGATATCCAGACCTTGGCATGAACAATACCAGAACCCCACCATTTGCTCAACAACAGAGTGGCGCTCTCCACATTTCCAGGCCTTCTCGAAGCAAGCTTGGTCGGCTCTTTAGTGAAGTCGGGATAAACCCCAGAGTGCTGCAGCAATCTAATGGCGATTTCGAGATTACAATCAAAACAATTTGAAGTAGCAAAACCTCGAAATCGAAGAAAGTACCAATTTCCAAAATCGATTTGATTTCGCAAGACCCGACCTAATTTTGACATCGCGATCAGAAGCGTCCTCGATTGATTTGTAAATGGCGGCGCCTTCACCAGCTCCGAACCTCTGCATATCGGCCTCAGAGTATCCATAGTCTCCCGACCTAGGATCTTCCGGCGAGGCGACGAGCGACCAGTACTGGGCGATGATGTCGAGTCTGCCGGTTGAGTTGCCGGCCAGCCAGCGAAGGACGTCGCTGGAGGAGAGAACCCCGGGGACGCGAGGGAGGTCGGGCATGTCGGTGGGGATGGATTGGACTAGCCATGCTTTGCACTGCGGTGGTGAAGATTCCGCCGCCGCCGCCGCGGTGGACAAGAGGAAGAAGAAGAAAGCGAGCGGCGTGATCGGCGGGAAGTTCATGACTCCCTTTTCTTTGGCGTATGAAAATGGGGAGATCGGCCGGATTGTTTGGTAATGTCAGTTGGCGGATAGTTGAACGGAGGTTACGAATTCCAAAATCCAATGAGCAATTGGCGCCGAATCTTGGAATCCAAAAATCTTGTGCTATCCCCCATTTAATTTTTATTTTTTTATTTGTGTTTGTGAAACTGTGCTATGCCATCCGTTGACCTTACTGTAATTTCCAGTTTACAAGATAAATGTGGTCAATTGGTTTTTTGTGGATTGATTCTCACTAATGAGCCAGCTTGTGAATGAGCTGGTCTGTCTGTCTATCTATTTATAAAATTATTAAAGGGCTTTTGAGTTTAACCCATTGCCACGTACTCCTTCCTATAAAATTAGGGGTCGTTTGGATGGGTTTTTATATAAGTTATTCTTACTCAAATAACTCACAAATCAACAGTATAATTTATAGCTGAAAAGTAAAACTGCACCCCCATTCAAAATTTCCTGCTCATAGAGTGATTTTAGGAAGCTGATGTGGCAGAGTGTTAAGCGGGAAAAAAAAGGAGTCTTGATAACGATGTAATTGCACATGTTTGCGCCCCTAGTTCTTATCCGTTTGAGGGGCATGGTCGTGTGTTTTGGCCTATTTTACGCCGGGTTGTGCTATTTTGTCATGTTTCAGGTCCCAGGCGTTAAAGGGAAGGCTAACCGCGAGTTTCGGGGCATTCGGAAGTCATTTCGGTGAGCTGGAGCCAAAACACGGGCAGCCTAAAGCATTACACGGCCGTGTACTGCTGGCCGTGCTTTTTATGCCGAGAGCAAATTCGGTTTGGCAATTTCAGTTGCAAACACGGGCACCGAAGCACGGCCGTGTTTAACCCACTTGCTGGCCGTGTAATTAAGCCTGGCCGAGGCACGGGCGGGCTCAGGCAAAGCACGGCCGTGCCCTCGACCGTGCTTTGGCCACTGATGCTTTTAAGCAGAGTTTCAGCCACAATTCAAGGGGATTCGAGTTTTTGAGAGAGAGATCAGTTCCTAGAGAGAGAAAGTGACGAGCAAGAGTTCCCAAGTGCCCTAGATTGATCTTCAACACCATTGGAGGCCAGCTTGAGCTTGGAGAAGTGCCAATCAACGTCCAGAAGCAGGAATCCATCCTTCGCAGTATGAATTCTGTGTCTGATTCTGCTTTTGCTTTCTTCTCCATGGAGTAGTTCACCTATTCATCTGGGTATGGAGAACCCTAGATTTGTATGTTAGGCTTTGATTGTATGAACCCAAGTACTGATTCTATGATTGATTATATTCGATTGAGGTTTTAATGATTGAATGACTTGAATCCTGATCAAATTCCTGTTGTTTCTGCTTTAACCTAGAATGAGAATATCTGCCTAGGTTGATAGAGCATCCTTGATTGAAGGTAGGGAGTTGGTGACTTTAGTCGAGGAGCCAACTCACTATTCTGTACCGGATTTACTCCGGTAGTGGAGGTTTTGTCCTTAGGGCCTCAATCTGTCTACTCCGGTGGAGGTTAGTCGCCCGCTAGAGATTCAGATTGAGAGGGTCTGAAGACCTTTAGTCGAGACTTCAGGCTGTTTAAGAACCTTCCGCAGTATAACTATCATAGAAACTGAACTTGGTAATTACAATCTGGCTTAACTGCAGTCTAGGGGGAACCATATCCGGGTGACCTCTCTTAACTTGAATACAACCGTTTTCCTGCTTTGTTAGTTTGATAGTTTAGACTTGCATTCCAGTTTCATTGCTAGATAACACGAATTCACTGAGTAGTCATCATATCTAGGACCCGGGTTGATAATTAAACCTAAACCCGCTATACTACGCTTTAGGAAGTGGTTACACTTGGCCAATTCCTGGGGTGACAGTAGAGTCGAGTCAAGTCCCGCCTGATTTCAGAACCAAAAAACTGTCCACTACCCACTTTTTTTCTCCTTCCAGGCTCACGTTCTCATTTAATTTGTATTAATTTGTATTTTTTATTTCCGATTTCCCTTCCTTCCACTCTTTCACCTCATTCGAATAAGTTTCTTGGCCTTCAGAAAACCAAACCTTGACTCAATCATCTGGTTCTTTTATCTGCTTGCATCTACCTTTGATTTCCGTTCTCTAAGCGTTAGATCGGTATTGGTTTTGCCGTAAGTTATTCTTCCTCTTTCAGATTTCTGTTTGTTGTTGTCGCTGCTTTTAAGTTTTAGGGATTCGGGTTCTGGGTTCTTTTTTCAGGGATTCGGTTGCAAAGATTCATCCCCATTGCAACCCATTTAGAGAATCGGTCACTTGGAATCGCTATTCTGTTCTGATTTCTACAGGATAATTACAAGATAACCCAACTACTTTGGTTGACAACGATTTCCCAATGCTGTTTTTGCGTGCGTCCTTCAAGTTCTGCTGCAACCATGGTTGGATTGAGAGTATTTCTCCGTTGCTTGCTGCATTTTCTTTAAACACTGATAAGAATGGCTCTTTCTGTACTCATCGTTACTCTTGATTTGTTGCTATTCCGTGCTCTGTCTTTAATGTTGGGCACCTGAAGTTACGGCCCACTAATACCCCATCGGTTACCCACCCAATTCGCGGCGAAGAACATAGTTGCCCGAGTCAGCGTCGTCTCCTCCTCCGCTTCACCTGCACGCTTCCTCTGCTACCCAGCTGAAGATCTCGGTGTTCCTCAGTCCTTCCCACCGCCTGCAACTACCTTCCCCACACTGATTCCTCCTCTACCAATGGATTGTCTATAGGTATGCCTTCGTCCTCCCGTACTGCTATCCAAGATTTTGTCGAATACGGAAACTCGAAGAATCGGCTTAAACACTATTAGTTTTCCATTTACTTTTTGTGTGAGGATAGATGCAGTTTGGTCCATCAAGGATTTTTTTTGTCTTTCTAGAAACGATGGATATATTGATCTGTTCTTTTCTGTTTATGCATTTCGTGTCATTACCTACCACAAACTTCTGATGGCCGAGGAGTTCAGTTTCTGTCTTCAAAGGAACTACACAAGTGCGTTATTATCATTATCGTTCTGTTACTCCAACTTTGATCTGGGATTTTGTTTGTCAATAGGTCTGCTCTAATGTATTGATCCTTTCAGGTTGGTTCGATTGCGGCTGTTCCGCGTTATGACAACCTTATCGGCATGTTTGGCACCAAGCAAGTCCCTGCTGTTGGAGTCAGCCTGGGGATCGAACGTGTGTTTGCTATAATGGAGCAGGTTCAGAAGGACAGGAACCAGGTAAGATGATGAATGTATTACCAAAAATAGAAAACCTTCTCGCCAAGATTTTTTTCCCCCAATTAATCAAACTCTGGGAATTAGAAAGCTAAAAGTGAACGGGCTAGAGAGTGGTTCTGACTTTTGAGACATCTCATAAGTGATTAGGAGCTGATGTTGTGAGGTTGATATGGCATAATTGACAATCTCATGACTATAATTAATGCCTATCAACGGACAATTGGTTTCCCTTTGTGTAAGTCATTTCGAGGGTTTCATGTAATTATGAGTTTGCCTGCTTTCAAATTGTTGAATACCTACGCAACCATTTCAATTACTTCTTCTTTATTGACCTCACTGTAGACACCACATTTTGTCCGGAGCAACCATCCTACTCAAAATTTGGAAGAATATTCCATTTAAAAATTAAAAAGAAAACCCAAGTGAAAGTTTGGACGAGGTTGGTTGAGATTAGCAGTGGCAAATCAATAAGTACCAATAATTTCGAAGTCCTCTTTCTGTTTAGTTCGAATAGCTGTACTAGGTAGGATTAGCAGTAGCTAATGACTACCAAATTCGCTTTATTTAGAATAACAATAGTATGCCGTCACGACTATACTAGTATTACTGTTAATGATTAGTGACATAGGTTTGAAATTGGTCAAATGAGATAGGAAGACCATAGTAAACTTACTGATATTGGTCAATATTGGTTGAAATTCATAATCGGGAACTATTTAATTAGAAGTTGGGATATGGGTCACGATTGGAGAAAAAGTAAGCAAATTAGGTGGGAACAATCAATTGAATAGTTGGGCCATACAATAATTACATGATCATTCTAATTATAAGTAAGCAAAAATAATTACATGCATAATTACAAAGTACAAATGTACAACTAATAATTATTACATTTGACAAGAGATTAAGAATGAATAAAAAAGACTTCTTCCTTTTTCTTTTGGGCACCAATCAGAATTGGAGGCCTTGCCAATTGAAGCTGTTTGGGCCCACATTGATCATCATTTTGAGCCAAAACCATACCCAAAACCTGCAAAAGAGAAAAAAAAACTATTAGAAACCAGCCCATACCAGCAACCAACACTTAGGCCCAATTCTCAAACCATTAAACTCAACCCAGGCCCATATTCCGGCCCAATTGACTCTGGTCAACTCTGGTCAACTTGGTCGACCCAGGTCAACCTGGTCGACCCGGGTCAACCCAATCAAGTACGGTCAGCCCGGGCCAACTCTGGTCAACCCCGTCAACCAAACCCATCATCCTTATCTAAAGGAGCAGCAGAGTAGCAGAGCAGCAGAGTTTCTGCCAAATCTAAAAAGGAGGATTTCGGCCACCTCCTCCAAGAACCAATCCCAAATTGCCAACAACATAAGTGGCTCAGGCCACCACTTCAAGAGCAAAGGAGGAACAGCCAACACACAGGTATGAACAGTAAAGGCAGCAATATATAAGGAGCTGTCTTACCCCAGGGGAGGAGAGGACCAACAACAAAAAACACACAAAAAGGAGACGAAGACATTAAAGCACTAAGCACCAAAAGAGGCAGGCCAGAAGCAATAAGGATCCAAAAAGGGCAGGGAGTCAGAAACAGCAACAAACTATCGCCATCAAACTCCACCAAATTTGCAACACAGGTTGGTACTTTCTACACCTCATCAACCATACGAGCATCTAGTCATCCATACATCCATGAAGGAAAATTCATTTAACATGTTTGTAAATGATGATTGCTTCTAAATTCATAATCCATAGTTAGGTTGCTTAAGTCTGTATGTGAAGTGGGTATTACGAAATTCTGATCTTTGTGACATGTATGCCTCTTTATTTTTTTTTCATGCTACAATAGACAGTTCCCTTTTATTACCAACATACAATGAATTAGTTTAAATTGCTTTCAGTTTTTCTAGCAAGCATAATTCTTGCTAAGTTGCTAGCTGAACTTAGCAATAATATCAGCTAGGCTATTTCATTTACTCTTTCAACATACCAAAAATCCAGCAATCTACTCAAAACACAAAATAGGATTCAAACCAGAGGTTTGAGAGAGTATTTTAAAATACCTCATTTTATGTTTAAGGGCGCCCCTTTTCTTTACTCAACTACCAGATTTGGTAATCACAAAGTTCTCATTTGATTATC